CTGCTGCTGCTGCTGCTGCTGCTGCTGCTGCTGCTGCTGCTGCTGCTGCTGCTGCTGCTGGTGTTTAGGATTTCTGCGGTGTATTGACAGAAGAAGTGTTGCGGCGTAATTTTGTTTTAGTTTTGGAGATAACAGAAGAAATATGCGCGAAGGGGTATTGGCAGGGGGGGGGGACAGAGGACCTACAAACCACCATATATTCTCAGCCTCTTCTCGACTTAAATACACAGGATAAACATGTATGTTTGTTTGTTTTTATTTTATTTTGTTTTGTTTGTTTTGTTTTTTTTGTTTTGTTTTTTTTGTTTTTTGTTTTGTTTTTTTTTGGGCTTTTTTCGGGCTTGGTTTGGCGTTTTTAAGGCTTTTTTTCGGGGTTTTAGGGTTTAGGGTTTAGGGTTTAGGGTTTAGGGTTTAGGGTTTGCACACGGAGGTCTATTTTCTTCTCTTTCTTTATCTAAATACACAAAATAAACATTTATATTTATTTATTTGTTTGTTTGTTTTATTTAGTTTATTTGTTTTGTTTTTTTTGTTTTTGTTTTAGGGTTTAGGGTTTAGGGTTTAGGGTTTAGGGTTTTTGTGCTTTTGTGTTTTATACAAACCGCCATCTACTCTTATCCTCTTTTTCATCTCAATACACAAAATAAACATTTATATTTATTTATTTTATTTATTTTATTTATTTATTTATTTCATTTATTTTATTTATTTATTTTATTTATTTTCTGCTTTGTTTGGTTGTTTTGTTGTTTTTGTGTTTATATACACACTTCTTCGTCTACATAAACATTTATATTTATTTATTTTTATTTATTTTTATTTATATTAATTTATTTTATTTATATTAATTTATTTTATTTATTTTATGTATTTGTTTGTTTATTTATTTTGTTTTCTTTGTTTTGTTTACGATGAGTGTATTAACGATTGAGTTTCTGCTGCTGCTGACATTCCGCTTTGTCTGTGCATTCTGCTGCTGCTGCTGCCGCTGCTGCTGCTGCTGCTGCTGCTGCTGCTGCTGCTGCTGCTGCTGCTGCTGCAGCACGTGTCTCTCCCTTCGTTTGTGAGCTCCACCCCAAAGACGATGCCATCGACAGCAAGTCGGCGTCCAGTAGCAGTAGCAGCAGCAGGTTGCAGCAGCAGCAGCAGCAGCAGCAGCAGCATCGGAGGAGGAACAACAGCAGCAACAACAGCAGCAGCAGCAGCAGCAGCAGCACGACGCCGCAACGAAATCTTTGTTGATGTTATAGAAAGGGTTTCGGCTGTGCTAACCCCCGCGGGGCAGCTCATGCGTGCTGCTGTCGACGGCACCATACAAATGAAATCCTACTTAGACCCTCCTCCTCTCCTTAAGCTAGCTCTTACTGATCAAATATCTATCAATGGTAACCCCTAAACCCTAAACCCTAAACCCTAAACCCTAATTTTAGTTTTAGGCGGAAGCAGCAAAAAATTGCGTTGAAAAATCATATTTCTATCACCTCTAAACCCTAAACCCTAAACCCTAAACCCTAATTTTATCTAGACCCCCCCTCCTCTCCTAAAACCCAATAAAGAAAAAAAAAAATAAATAAATAAATAAAAATGTTTATTTATTTATTTATTTATTTATTTATTTATTTATTTATTTATTTTAGGTGGGGGTTTAGTGGCTGACCGTTGTACATTCTACGAGGGTGCAGATTTGTCTTTATTTGAGAGTGAGGGTTTACTGCTATTCAAGCCACCAGCGGGAGAGTTTTCTTTGCTTAATTATTCTCTCCCCTATCTCCTTTCTGTCCCCTTTCGTCTCTTCCCAGCTGTAGAAGAACTCGCACACGGAAAGGTTAGGGTTTATGAGGGTTTATGAGGGTTTATGAGGGTTTTTGAGGGTTTATGAGGGTTTATGAGGGTTTGGTAGGGTTTACAGAGGGGATGAGAGGGTTTGCGAGGGTTTACGAGGGTTTAGGAGGGTTTATCGGGGTTTGTGAGGGTTTAACAGGGTTTATTAGGGTTTATGAGGGTTTATGAGGGTTTATGAGGGTTACGATGGTGTAGAAGGAATTCTGAGGGTTTAGGGTTTAGGGTTTAGGGTTTGCGTGTAAGCGGAGATAACGCTGCGTCTTTATGCGGCTCTCCCCGACCATTGTAGTATCTACGGTTTAGAGTCTAGGGTTTAGAGTCTATGTTTTAGGGTTTAGGGTTTAGGGTTTAGGGTTTAGGGTTTGTGTGCAGGCGGAGGTGACGCTGCGTCTGCGGGCTGATCTGCCTGAGCAGTGCAGCGCAGCAAATTTGTGTGTTTCTGTCTCTATCCCGAAATCCACTACTTCTGCTTCTCTTGAGGTTTCTCCTCCTATTCTCTCGCAGGTATCGAGGGTTTAGGGTTTAGGGTTTAGGGTTTAGGGTCTAGGGTTTAGAGTTTAGGGTTTAGGGTTTAGGGTTTAGGGTTTGGGGTGATTTTGCTTTTTTTCGGTTGTTCTAGCGTTTTTCGGGGTTTTAGGGTTTAGCGTTTAGGGTTTAGGGTTTAGGGTCTAGGGTTTAGGGTCTAGGGTCTAGGGTCTAGGGTTTAGGGTTTAGGGTTTAGGGTTTAGGGTTTGTTCTCTGCAGGGGGGGGAGTTCATTCCGTCTGAGCATCGAGTCCAGTGGCTTATGAAAAAGATGCAGGTACACCACAAACCCTAAACCCTA